TAAACTCATTTACATACAGTGCTTACCAAATGTATTAGACCACCTGTCCAATGTGTTACGCACTGTATATATGTATATAGACCATCCAGCATCATAAAGTGCTTTAATTTGCTCTCAGCTCTCGACATTTTACCATTTTGAACAGGAATGAGGAATTTAAAACTGAATTCACCTTTTATATTGGGTGGTGGTCTCATACATCTATTCAGCACTGTGTATGTTCTTTAATACAATAAATTAAAATCTTTGACATTTTAATGGAAAAATCCTCTTTACATTGTGGTTTATGGCAGATGAAAATAATAATCTATTTACTTTCCAGAGGATACAGAGCATGTGATAGACTGGTGACCTGTTCAGGGTGTCCCCTGCCTTCACCCTAAGTCAGCTGGGATAGGCTCCAGCCCCCCACAACCCTAGTGAGGATTAAGTGGTGTATAGATAATGGATGGATGGATGGATGGATGGTACAGCTTTTATGTCAAATAATTTCCCAGGCCTGGGATGAATAAAGTATTTTCTATTCTATTCTATTCCAATTCACCTGTTTTCTATCAATATTTTCCCCCCATACAGGAGTGGTTTAAAAGTCTTTTTGACATTAATACATCATAGATTTCAGGTTTTCAGACATTGCAGCTACATTTGCTTACATACATTTGATCATCATGTGAAATCATGAGGATTAAAAGGTCATGCAGGAGAAAAGCAAAAAAAATAATAAAAAAAATTTCAATCATAACACTTAAAAAAAAAAATACACTAAGAAAATGAGATGGCTTCTGTTATTTTAGTGGACTTCGAAAAACAAAACAAAGTTGAAATCATTGCCAAAATATTTCATTTTGTGATCCAACATATGTGGTTTTTACAAGATTTAGGCGTGGAGAGTTTTATATGTGAACCACATGAAAATCTGCGCCTATTTATAGATCCAGAGGCCTTGCATGAAAACAACAGTTGCCTGAGCTGCAAACAACGACTCGTTTGAGCGGAAAACAAATAGCTGAAGAAGAAACCTTGGCGAGAGCTGAAACCGGAGGACAGTCTGACTCTGTTCACCCATCGCCATCCATTCCCACCTATTTTTGGGAAATGCAGAACGGCGACACGAAGGTTCCAGCAGTAACGTAAGTAAATCAATGTAGAATGACCCTTTCATCAGGCGCATGTAGACAGTCGAAAGCTCTGTAATTAACAGAGGAGACAATTCAGCTTCCTCCGGCAGAAATAACTAAATTAGGGATGACAGAAAATGCTTTGATTGAATTCAGAAAAAGTGTCCCAGATTTGGGAAACGAGTGGTTCAGATCGGTTGTGTGACCTAATTAAATTCGTACAAACTGTCAGTAGTGGAAATAAACTTGCTGGAATAGATTTGTTGTCTTCCTATAGCTGACTTTAGGTTGTTCTGTTTTTTCTTTTAAAGCCGCTGAGCACCCAAACTGGTGTTTTTTTGAACTGGCCTAAAGTTCTTCTAAGGTGAAATTGGATGGAGCCATGCAGGGAATTATGTGATGCACTGACTTATTAGACATCCATCCAGAACAGGGTCTGCATCCGCCCACATGGTGCCACAAAAAGTTTTAATCAGGCAACATAACTGAAAACACCTGTCTGGGAGGATTTCAGATGTGTCGAGGCTTTTAAAGGTTAAAACTTGACAAACTGGCAGCTGCTTTTACTTTGTTAAGACACAACGAGTAGAAGGATTTCTTAAAGCAATAAACTCCTATTATATTTATAAAAGCATTTTATTTTTACACCCAGATTGGCTCAGTTCCACTTTTTGGGGAAACACACTGAATCTCACATGTGCTGACAATCATGTTTATTGGGTTTTGCGGCTGCTATAAACTTGAAGGTGTAAAAAATAAAAGCTGTTATGATATTAAGACGTTGACATCCAGTAAGAATCCATCCCATGTGCCACCTCACACCTGAGTAGCCAGTAGCCCTCCAGCTCAAACTTTGATTGACTGCTCGGAGGCAGCCTGTTCTTATTGAAGTGGGCGGGAACAGCATTGATCTTCAGCTCATTTAGAACATCCCTTAAACCAGAGGATATATTGTCATGGTGAAATTAGCCATCTTTGCACTGTGGGGACACTTGAAACTTTAATAATTTGTTGAATAGGGGCGCATAAGCGGATACGGCAAAGGTTGTTTTTTATTATCCAGCTGTGGTGTTCCATCTTTGGGAGCCTTATAGCCTAAATGTGACCCAGATTGCACTGTTCAGCCTTCAGCATCACTTGTTTTGCCATTTTAGACTACAAAGAAGGCAGATTAGAGACGCACACAGCAGGTCTAATTACTTTAAAGATGTACCACTGAGTTTTTTTTTTAAGTTTTGTGGACTCTTAACAATCCTACAGGACGGCTGCTGCTCAGCTCTGCACAGGTCATGCACACAGGAGAAGGGAAATTCCCTCTAAATCTCTTCCTCCACAGCCTGATTTATAAACCATCCATCAGTCACCGTTGCCAGGGAGATGTGAGCAGGGAATTAGGAGCAAATGACTGAATCAGCTGCTGGTGATGTGGAACAAAGTCAGTCTGTAGCTTCTCCTTAGTTTACATCAAACAAATTGGTTGCTTGTCCACCTTCTTGCTTTGCAAATGAAACAATTATCTGGCATCATGCGATTCGGGAGACGGAACATGTGATTCCTGGCTAACGGGGAAAGGTGAGCGCTCTGTCTTGATGGAAAAGTGCAGTGAACCCCCTTGTGAAAGACACCGGACAGGGCTTCCTTTCAGGTGATACTGCAGCACAGTCTTCCTTTAACAACTGACATTAGCAGACATTGAAACATACCGCTGCTGTAGAGGAAGTATGTGTTTGTTATGATCCGATCAGACACATCATCAGATCCTCTAAATGCTCAAATATTTGTTCAGTGATAAACCGATCCTAAGCTGCAATGGATGTGTGGTCTTCACTGAAATCCTGCTGTATTAGCCAGCAACAGTGAAGGCAGCAGCTGTGTGCAGCTCAGGACTTCATGCTTGTCCTGCATCCTCCTACACACAGATCTGATACACCAGGTGATCCCTCTCAAGTAGAACAACTCACTTATCTCTATGCAACAGCAGCCACGAGTTATAAAACCAGATAAAAAGGCATCTCTGCAACCGTTGTTAGAATCTGTGTATTCTACGACCAGCCTATGGGAAGATGTCTTATACTAGATTACAGTAGGAACACTGCGCTACACAGGAGACACAGCTGAGACACATTAAACACACGAAAATATGATTTTACAGAAGTGTAATTCAATAGAGTGCATTTATTGGTCTATGGAACCTACTCTCATTCCATTAACAGGAGTTGGAGATTTAATTGTAAACACAGTAATAGAAACAGCGTTTAGTTAACTTGAAATGTACAGAGAACGTTAAATAAATTAGGAGACACATGTGATCTTTTTAACTTACCCAAGCCTGTCCTCCTCCTTCTTCCTCAGGTTGAAATCTCTCAGGACGACCTCCCACACATGCTTGGCCTCGTCATCCGTCAGCTTGGACAGATCGAGCTTCTTGCCTGCGGTGGTGCCAGGCATGATTGTGCAGCTGCTGGCTGGCTCCCTGGTGGTGGTCTAGAGGGGAGTAGTGAAAATAAAAACCACTTTATTGCTAATTAAGCCAAATTAGATCATTAGTCAGGATTATTGGTATTCAGAGAGATGTGGGCAATGTATGGCAGAGTTTACATAAATGCTCATATTTAATAAGAACAATCTGCAATGAAAACACTGCAGTGGTGAATCTCTTTGAAGAGGTTCACTTGCATTGTTTTTGCAAATAATCAGTTAGTTTCACATTCTTTACTCCTTTAGGTGCTGAACCTCACGACATGACGTGAGTGTTAATCAGTTGGAAAATCGTGTTGTGTTAATGGTACAACTTCAGGTAACATGAGAAGTGTTGGAAAATAGATTTCCCAGGTGACGTTTGCACATGAATTTCTCTACAAGTTGAACTTGCCAGTGGAAGCTCAGAGAAGGAATTCATAAACAACTTTATGAACTGTGACTGACTCACTGAACTCAGTTTACTAACACCTGAACAAATGTTAACAGTCAAAAAGGCTGTTTGCAGTTCAAAAAATGCTCTGAAATTAAGGCACAACCTCAGCTTTTGTTAAGTCTTTCTTGTTCATGCCCGTGTGCTTTGAAACGGATCTCTTTCTACAATGTGAGATGCAGGAAGTTAAATCCACAGTCCAAGTTCTGTGTACAAGTGTAATGTAAAGTTAGTCGAATCCAGCAGATCTCTCCTGGCACCTTTGTGAGCCAGTAAGAAGACCAGTGTGCAGATACCAGAGAGCATTTCTGCACAGCTAAGAAAGGATGCAAACACGAAAAGAGGATCTCATACTATAAAGACAAAAATAAATCCTCCTGGTCCTCACCTCTGAATAGAATAAATGTCTATTATATTCAGGTCTGAATGTTTCTACATCAAAATAATGAAACAAATTATTTGTTCCACATTTATGGCTTCACTGCACTTCTGTCACAGTTTGTATGACAAAGAGAGGAAGGAGGGCCCAAATGCAGACAGAAAACTATTCAACTACACAAGCAAATGGTGATCATGCTGGAGAACAGGTAAGCAGGCAGGCAGGAGACACAGGATTCAAAAAGGTAACCAGATGGTAAGAGCAGAGCAAGAATCAATAATGACGGGACAATCCAGCAGGTATATTGGAGCTGATGGAGGGGCAAGCAGTAACATCTGAAAAACGCTGCCAATGTGCCAAAAACTGCAGATCTTTAAATGGCCACTTGAGGCAAGTTCCAAAAGCGAGTCAGTCACCATAGACCTCCAAATTAAAACGTCCAACTTTACAGCAGAAATAAAAAAAATTAAAAAAAAGGTACAAAAAATAGCTTTGGTCTCTATTGCTAAATCCCTTCTCAGGGAGGAATAAACAATAGAAAGGTGGGTAACGTCACAGGACAATCCATGGTCCAGAGACGTTTGCGTGGCTGAGCATGCACACCTCATACTCATTTTTAAATCGGCGTTTGGAGAGGTCACCACCAAGATGGAGACAGCCAGAACCACCAAACTGAGCTTCAAAACCACAGAACCTCTGTCAGAGAGAGCTGATCGATCCCTGCATACAGTTGATGTTGGGGGATGGGAAGCAGGTGAGGTGGGTGTGGAAGTCAGGTGAGTGTAACTGGGAGGAAAGTCTGAGCACATCTGGTGTACGGCTGGTAAGTGACAGGATCCAGAAGTGAGGATATGAAAACAAACAAGGCTGAGACACAAACTGGAAACTTCTATGGCTTCATTGTTATTACTTGACGACTACAAAATAGCTTCTGACAAGCTCATTGAGGCAGATTTAGTGAAGCCAAGGTTACAGTCTTCTTTTTTCTTTTCTTGGCAGTAAGCAAGGCGAAATCTTTGGGTATTAGTTTTAGGAGCGTATTAGCAACAATGACTTATTTACACATCATTCATATGCTGTTGTGTTTCTGTCCATCTGATTAATGTAAGTTTAATATTCTTTCCTTTTTTTTTTGCCTCTTATTTTGGTCTCTACCAACTCCGAGAGGAATAGCTTACTGTTCAGTTGCGCTATGCTTTTTGTCATTGATTGATATCTTCTATAAAAACCTTAAATGTTACTTAGATTCTCTGCTTTCTGATCTGCCTCGCCTGTGTTTAAGGCATAGCCAGGTTTACAGATGTAAATCTAATTGGTGACATTAAGTGAGAGGCCTTCGAGGGCACAGCAATTATTTGCACAACTGCAGGTTGTTTGCAAGCATAAGTCATGCAAAGCATTTGAACAAACATTTAATGGTGCAACATGCAAGATTTTAAGCATCAATATAGCATGGATTATTTAATACAGCAGCAAGCAACTATCTGCTATGTAAAGATATTGTAGAAGTATTCTTAGCAGAGAATGAAGTCACACTTCCTCTGTGTTTGGTGTAATCTGAGCTTCTCTGTCCAGTGCAGTCATGTAAATGCATGTGAGCACCTCCCTTTGAAACTCTTGGCCTGACAAATAAAGCAAAAGTGGCCTCTCAGGCTGCAGTGGACAAGCAAAAGTGCATTCAGCTGCTACCCTAAAAAACATTTTGAGGCTCTTCTCTGTTACTCCTTCTCAATTCGTGTCTGTTCCACTGTGCTTTATGTGTGTCTGTTTCCTCACACAAGTCTGTTTGTGGACAAACTGAAGTGGACACATGAATGTTTGTCCACTGGTCCACTCTGAGCCGACTGACAGACACTCGTTAAAGCCATTTCATGTGTTTTACAGTGCTAGCATTGGCTAATGTTTGTAGCTGGAGTATGTTTTGGTTTCTCTTGTGTACACAACCTTTGTGGTTGTTAATAAAAGGTGAAGGTAGGGGGGAGATGTTGGTGCTCCAGGGACATCCTGCGATTCTGGCCGTTGCACAAAGAGCCTTTAATGCTGCTGTATGTGTTTTTATTCTACCACAGTGTCTTTTCCAGCCATCTTCATATAAAAGCTTTCTTGTGTTTGCAAGTTACTCCCAAGCTGTCAGCTGTGAGCCAAAGATGTCTGAATTTTACTGCTCACATTGAGAAATCTGCTGTCAATTTAGTTTTCTGCTGTTTTGTCCAAACAAATCAGAGCAGAATAATAGTATTTACCAGGGGTCAGAGACTTGGAGCATTGGACTCGATTGACTGCTTAAAATCTCTCTGCCACATGCATCTGTCCTGTGATCTGGGAAGGTCTGGCACAGTTCAACCATCACATTGCTGCAGGATTTTAATCAAGTTTCTGTTCAATGGAGCCCGACCAAATGTTTCACATGGTTCAGTTTCATAATGCATTGGTTTCAGAGGATGAGGTAAGTCAGCTCAAGCTGACAGAGTGACACACACCTACACACACCTCCACACACACAACCAATACCACCGAACGGCATGTGAAGAGTTTCACAAAGTCAGAGAGGAGTAAAGGAATGTTCAGGGCCATTACCTAATTGTCTTGTTTTCCACAGGCCATGTCAAAAAGACTCAAATCACTGAGGAGCTTAATCTAATTTCTGCTTCTGCAAGTGGGCACTAATGGTCAAAACAAGCGTGCCAGTTTGACAGAGAAACATGTTCTCACCTAATTGGTAAAATGCGAGCAGACCATTGTACTCATCCAGCTACATAAAAACAGTCTTATAACTTTCCCACAGTTCAGTTCTTACACTTTAACAGCCAAGCAGTATAAACAAGACGTATGCATATTTGCTTAGTGGGTGTGCACATGTACTCTGTTGTATTAACGGAACAATAAGAAACCAATCCAAAATTTCATCAAAATATTCCTTATAGCACTTTAGGCTTTATTCCTTAGACAAACAAATCCAAATCATGAAGCCAATGATTCCTAAAACATACATTTTTTTTCAAATACAATTCATTGTTGATTTACAGAATTCAACAGGTGCACATTAACAGGATTCCTTGTGTTTGCACAAGGAAGGTTTGACTTGATAACAGGTGTAGGGACACACAAACCTGCAGTAGTTTCACCACAACAACAGCACAACTTCTGAATTAATTAAAACCACTTTAAATGCTCTAACGTGGAGATTTAACCATGTCTCGAATAACAAGCGGAAACCCTCTCAAACATGAGTTTGGCCCAAAGAAACAGGACCAATCCCTGCTGTCCACTGACAAATAAAGCAACGCAAATCACAACGAAGAAGCAGGATTCCAAACACATCAACACCTCTGAGATACAAACACATGTAGGCTTTAACACAGCTTTAACACGACACTGACTTACCTTGCTGTTGGCTGAGTAGCCTGCAGACAGCGTTTCCCCTGAAGGCAGACCAGCCTGACTGCAGGGCAAACTAAGTAGCAGACAGCAATGCTAATCACATGTCTAGTTAACCAGGAGGAAGAAAAGGCTGGGAGACAGCCTCCTCTCCGCCTTTCTTGACTTTACTTCAAAGGGTCAGGCTATGTGCTTTTGGCCCTCCTGATCTCATTCACAGCTATTTAAATACAGCGGAACAGCCAATATGTCAGGAAAGTACCTGGTTAACAGGAAATCGATCTGTTTGGAAGCTGTTATTTGGGACAGTTGATTGCTCGGACAGTCCAAATGTACACTGATCATGAGGTTACAGAGAGGCCATTTGGGCTTAAGTCCCTCAGTCACATGTTGTGGATCTTATGTTATATGAGAGAGTCGTGATGCATGACTTCAGAGCCTTTAACTCTTTATTGATACCAATGTAGTCAGGTCTTTTTTGTTGCACAAGAAACATTGGGAGGTCTTCGAACATGCAAAAGCTTTTTTTCTTGTTAATAACTGATGCAATGCTGCATTTAAAGGGCACCTCGAGACAGAATATAGCTGCAGGACTTCTATTAGCACAGTGGGTGGGTCGACTTTGCTTTGTCAGAGAGAAATCAGGTTCCTCTGACAAAGCCAAACATTTACACTTGGAACTACAACTTGAGTTTTTTTTTTTTAGAGCTGAGATGATTACCATTACTCTTATGTCATGTGAAAGTTAGTTGGATAGAGTAAGCGCAGCCATCACGCAAGAAGCTTCTCATCTATTGTGACAGAAATGTACACTCAAACCGATTAAGGCAAAGCTGAAGACATCCAACCGAATGTGAAAATCAGCAGGGTCTGAGCCGAGATGACCTTTCTTTGTTAATTTATTTGTCTCGTTCTCTCTCTCATAAACATAAGGATTGGCTCCCATGGCCTCCCCCACTGGTGTGTGCTTTCCAAAAGAGTTGATTTAAGCCATGTGACTAGTCCAGCAATCCAATTTTCTTATTTGCTCAACCACCAGGCCCTGTCATCTTCCTGTGGATTACATAAACATGAATACATCCTTGAGAAAGTTGGTCCCTCTCTTTATTTTTACACTTTACATTTTTGGAATTTTATTACATTGTGGCGGATGGATCTATACATACTGCATAGGAGTTTTTTTTTTTTTTCCCCCCACACAGATTAAGAAAGGCTGATCTAGAATGTATTTATGGCAGTCTTACATACTGAAATACCCTTTAGCTATTAAAAAAAACACTTTAAATGTAGCTGTTGGCTTCCCAGATCAAGCAAATGCTTTCTGTGTCCTGTAAACATTGTGAAAAAACATTGAGAAAAAAATCACCACATCACTAGTCTACTGCAGGCATGTCTTTCCATTCAGTTGCACGCATACTGCACTAGTTCCTCTTTTGCCATTGATTTGAACCCCCAAAATACTCTGTGTATTAAAGTTACATATTTTACATTTACAGTTACATTTGTTTGTTTTGCATGACAGTAATTTCTACCTTACAAGCGCTTGGATGCACTTCTGTACTCCCTTTGAATGTATACAGTCTCCACCTCTATCCTCACACATCCCTTCACCCTCATGTCAGCTCACCTGCAATGACAAGGAATAATAATACAGAAAGCCCCACCCTGTAAGCTGACAGGTTTTGTTCCGAAGGTTTATTACATATGAAACCCTTTAGGTCTTAATCAGTGGTTTTTGAGACTTGAGAGTCCTCAGCACTCTGCAGTTTCAAGGTGGAAATACTCAGTTGTGGTGTTGACTGCTTATTTTGCTCATTTCTGCATATAAAAAAAACAGCACATTGACATGCTAACAATAACTGAAATGATCATTCACTGATACCTGCAAGGAAATGTGTCCTCTGCACTGAACCCATTCAAAGTATCAGCGGGTGGCTACCATACAGCACCTTGGGTCCAGCTCTAGGACAGTATCTTCCCTGGGGGCACTTTGGAAAAATCTTCTTAGCATGTTTATGATTGCAGGACAAACTCTTGCAAGTAATCAGAGGACATGCAACTGCTTAAAGAAAAACCTTTTAAGAACCCAGGACCTTCTTGCAATTAGGTTCTAACCACTGAACCACTGCCCTGCCTACAACTAACAGCACTATCAGTATTATGCACAAGGACATGTGAAATGTGATGCACATCCCTTCTGCCGTTTTCATCTTATCCATGGATCAAAAGTCTGTCAACACTGGGATTTGAAAAATAATGGCGATTTTCTGGCACCCCGCCCTGGACCATCCCATCACCACTCCCACTGTCCACGTAGCCCTTACATTGGACAAAAGCACACAATCCTAAAATCAACTCTAGGCAACCACTAGCTTTGAAATATCAGTGTAACAAAGATTAGGTTAAGCTCCAACAGGCTCTAAACAGAATTCTGCTGGGGCCCTCCTACTTAATCTGTGAGCCATGTAAACCATTTGCCATCGGTCCATCTGACACCCCAGTGCCCCCACTACATTCCTCCCCATTTAGAACAGTTTGCCCCATCTGTTGGTCTAAGAATAAGTAGAATAGAATAGAAATTGTTGTAATTGCAATAGACAATACACTGATAATGCCAACCCATTGATTTCCATCTTGCAATGGTTCAGAACTGTACCGAGATAATAGATGCCTGTGAGGATTGCCATCACACCTCCTTATGGTCTGGACTGGTCACTCACATGTGGTGGGTCATCTTTTCTGGTCTGCAATTTCTAAACTCTGTTGCACATCAACTTAATCTTACTGTTATTTGCTGACATCAAACTTGGAGAGGGAGAAAAAAATCTATTAAATTCAGTTCAGTTCAATTCAGAATGTGTCATTTTCAGGGTACTTCACAACTCAATGATAGCCAACGTAAGCACAAGTTTACCTGATTTTGTTATTATTTTTGCAGTTCATTCTCTTGATGTATTTCCCCCTCTTTTTTGTGTAGGACAGTTTAATTTCATGCTTTCGTCAAAGTTGTAAACCTTGATCCCCTCGTTGACTCAAGGGGGAGCTGGGCCCTTGTATAATTTGGGGGACTATGTGCACATTGTGGAGTAAGTCCCGGAGAAGAAAAGCTGCAAAGACATCAACTTATTATTATTATTTTTAAATACAACATTATTTAAAAGGGAAGGTAGCAGTGGAGAGAACTAAAATAATTTATTATTACATTTGTACTGATAGGTGCTGCATCATGTGACTGCATTGCAAGATGATTTCTTGATAAAATATGTTTAATAATTGGAGAAATAAAATTAATTCAACTTGAATAATACTTGGCAAATGGTCTGCACTTACATAGCACTTTTACCCAAAGCGCTTTACAATGTGTTGCTCATTCACCCATTCACACACGCATTGGCGACAGAGCTGCCATGCAAGGTGCCATTGGGCGCAACTTCGGATTCAGTGTCTTGCCCAAGGACACTTCGACTGTGGAGGGGCGGGGGATTGAACCGCCAACCTCGCAATTGGAGGACAACACGCTGAGCCACAGCCGCCCACGCCTACTTAGAATGTGTTTTACAAAGTGCAGTTTTTTAAAAAATTCTACATGTGATTGGAAAACGAAAAATAAAATAAATCTGAAATGCTTGCAGCAGTTGTTACTACTGTCACACCCATACAGTAACTCACCAGTCATCATACATTTTGACCTGTTTAGAACAACAGGCAGAGATATAGTATGACTTTTCTTAATTTTTCTAAATGACATGTTGCGTCACCAGTTGCACTCACATCCTCAGGTATATGTATTCTCTTCTTTTTGCTCTCTTGTATCTCAACCATTATTATTGTTATTTTTAATCATAAATAAGCACATTGTGTACATTAGCATCTATTTTTCATGTTCCATGCACGTGACACATGCCAAATAGTGACTTACATTACATATAACATTACTGCGAATGTGTTCTTTTACTCAACTGTACATGAGTTTATATTGGTAACAGGATTTAAAGCATAAGGTTCACTCAGTTCTTTAAGCCATCCAGTACATACAACTTCACTTACATCCAAACCAGCAAGACGAGGTAAGCAACAGGTCACAGATTTTTGAAGTCATTTATATTATTTAAAGATTGGTGGTCATGATATAAATTGCTAGAATAGCGGAACTCCCCGTGCAGCAGGAACTTAGGGTCTTTGAATTTGATGTGAAAAAACACAACAACAAAGGATTGGCTTCAGCTCAGTCGGTTCCTGCAGTTACAGTATCTCCCAGTGAATGATAGCATTAAATTCCTCCAATCTTGGAGAACACCCAGTGCAAACAACTAGTGTTTATAAAAATCCTGGACAATACATGATTGACCGGTCGCATGTTTGATTTTCACTCACCCTGCGTTGGCCTGCAGACTCCCTACCGGAGCTATTTAAGGAAACTTGAGCCAGAGTATCCTCCATATGTAATATGTCACTTAAATACAAACAAAGATGTCAGTTTAAAGAAAAAAACATCCCCCAAATTCCACACAGTATTACAAATTTCTTGTGTTTAGAAAAGCACTCCTCAGCTTCAGCTGTCTGCTGCAACAGGACAGACACCACCACACCACATCAACTGCTAATGAACAGCTCAAGGAACATGACAAAGAGTCTCCAAACTCCCGAGATCCTCATCCAATCAAGCATCTGCAGGATGAACAACCTTGATCCACAGAGGCTCCATCCTGCCACCATGCAGGGCCCAAAGGTTCTTAATGACCAAGCTCTACCTTATCTTAAATACCTCATTGTACTATATCATCCTAACAGAGCCCTTTGCTCTCAGACTGCAGGTCTACTTGTGGTTTCCAGAGTTTCCAGAAGTAGGATGGGAGGCCGAGCCTTCAGGTATCAAGATTTCACTTAAGTAACAGTGATTGGGCAATGTAATCCCTAAAATATATCAAACTAACTGATTACTGCCAAAAGTCTCATAGCTTCTGTCTAAGTTTAAAAAAGTTGTGCTTGGAAATTCCTCTTTGGTAAGTCATGTATGACAGTGACTTGGGCAGACCGCAAAAGTGTTTAGTAAACA